CCTTCGCGCCAACATATTCTCATAACTTTGGGCTTTTCTTTTATTCAGTCTAGAAGAACACGTCAAATTTGTTAACACGCCAACTGCGTGAGGCGAATACATTAGAGACACTTCACAGTTTATGGGCGTCGAAATCAATTATCATGCTTTTATGCCTTCAAATATGTAAATATAATTTTAAAGCAGTTTAAGGGAAGCAAATCACAGGAAGTAAGCGACTGGCATTTAGTCTAAGCTGTGCACATAGATTTTGTTTCTTTGTTGTGGTCATGTTCCATATAGACACACACTGTAGATACGTGTACCCATTCCTACCCCTGAGGACATGAGCAGCGCTCTGCATGTTTTATTCAAGGGCAGCCCTTATAAAAATTTCAAATAATTAAATTTCAAACATTTCACAATTTTTCAAAATAAAATTTACATAATATAAATATAAAAGAAATATATTTAATAATAAATAAAAGTTTCACAAAATCGTTTTTCTACTTTCACTGACTATATTCAATAAATATTCATGATAAAATTGATTTTAGTCTCATCCACGCTTTAAGGTTCACTATCAGAAATAAAATAACTAAAAGCAATTTTTAGCAATTGTATAGTTTTTCCAAAGATAAAACCTCTTTACATTAATAATGCAAATAGCGTTTTGAGTATCGTTTTACAATAAAACAACATCGGTCTGATTATAATGATTGTGTGATATTAAAATACGCAACGTTAATCATGAATTATACATGTATATTTTATAATTTTCAATGTGCAACTGTATATAAAGGGGAAGCCGTGTGACATAATTGCAATTACAAAACATTTGCAGCCATTAAAATGCAATTTTGTGTAGTTTATTGCATTATTCTCTGGGGGCCATTAAACTCATTACGAATTGACGCTGCCCAACTGGTTTGTTTTTTTAATATTACGTTGCCATTATAAGTGCAGTTGCCGTGCACCCACTCCCTTTTTTTCAACCCTTAACCACCATCCACCAACCCTCTGATGTCCCGGAGACGTTTTTTTTTTAAATTTCAATTTAGATTTTTTTTCCAAATGGCAACTGTGTGACTTTTTTTTACAAAGAATCAGATTAGCTTTTTTTTTGCCAATTTGCTTTCCATTCTTTTTTTTTTGCTCTCTCTCTCTCTTTTTTTTTCATCTCATCCGTTCTTCGGTTCCTTTTGCTGCAGTTGTGTTATCCTTTTTTTTATTTGTCCTTACGTGCTCGGGCCGTGGTTTTCTATCTCTTGGCTGTTTTGGTACATGGATTTAATGCTATAACATTTATTAGCTTAAAGAACTAGCTTCAGTTTTTGTTTTAGTTTTTTTCATCTTCTTTGCTCAATAAAAAATTAAAATGTTGCGTTGAATCAAAATTGTAGACGAAAATTCCGATTTGGCTGCAATTTTCAAAATTCTTTGATTTATGTTTCCTGTCAGCTCGATTTTAGCGCTGGCCACCCCATTGATGGACACTTTGCAGCTCAATTATGATTTGATGGGTTTTTGCGCTCGAGTGCCACACATGACACTCACCACTCAGAGCTGCTCAAATGGCCAAACACTGGCTGACGGCCTCTTCAGCACATTCAGGTTCAATTCGTCTCGTATGGAGAGCGCTCTAAAAGCTTTGTTTGGCCTCCTGTGTGTGGGGGGGAGTGGAATCGGCTATAATAGCTCTAAAGTGATTAGTTGTATAGATGCCAGCTTTTATTATGCAATTCTTTTACCGAAGACTTTAGAGAACTATTATAGCATATGATCATATTGCAGTCAATGCTTCAAGCAAGACTCAAATCAAAGCTCTTCAAACGAACCAATTATGTCAAATAAGCTGCAATTCTGATCAATGTCGGATGGCTTTGTTGCAGAATTTTAGCACTTTATATTTTCTTTTGAATAAAATAAGACGTCGACAGCTTGTCGTGGTCCAATGCGATTGCATAAAGTGATGCAATTTGGCATTTCGCTTTTTGATTGGGTATTTTATCATCACTTTTGTGAAAAGTGCAGCATTTTGTTCAGCTTTATGGAAAGCTTTCAATATTTTGATTTACTTACAATCTGATATTGTTCCCGCATTATTTCTCCTTTGTGCTTTCCTCTGCTTATTTTTAAAACATTTCCCATTTGCTGTTATCAGGTTGCAGCTTGTTTGCCTTCACTTTGCTTCAACTGTGCACTGTTGTTTGTGTTTGGGGGGATCTAAAATCAATTGCAGTTGAACCAACATATTTTCCATCCCTCCTTTCCATTTTGCGTTTGTTGACTTAGGTATCGCTGCTTAAGTTGCTCTTTGTGAGAAACAAATATTGCATGTCTACTGTTATTCTAAATAAATATATTTCGCTGTTTAAAAGGATGCTTTAAATATTAGCTCCATTGAAGTAAAGTTGTTTATACAATGGAATTTTCTTAAAAATAGTTGCAATTTGAAGTTCTCTAGGTAATTTTAGTTCTTCTATTCATTCATTCATTCTTCAATTTCATTTATGACTTCCGCCCAGATCAATTTCATTCTCTTCTGTCTTTGAGTGTGTGCGATATTTACGTCTGCCCATATCGAGTCGCTTTCCCTTTCAATGACAGGTGCAATGACAGAGGAAGAAGAAGCAATATTGCTGGAGTCTGCCAATAATAATCATTAAATTAATAAAAAATATTGAAATACTGATATCATGTGATTTCAATAAGTTTAAGTATTGAAATGCTGATAACATTTGACTTTAAGATTTAAATCTGAAAATATGTGAATCGCCCCAATTATAATTATTATTTTCAAATTAATTGCCATAGAGAATTTATAATAGAATTGAGAATTTAATTTTTAATTATTTACATTTTAATTTTTATCATCGCACTCTTTAAATTTCTTATTTACTTTAATTATTCCAATTTAGATAATATATTTCATTGCATTAAATTCAATTATTTTAGAAATAATACTTAAATTTACATAAATGAACACAGATATCTATTTACTTCGCAAACTTATAAATATAAAATTCTGTATATAAATGCTTGGTATAGCTTTGCCGTTCTTAATTTACATTTTATAGCGAAAAGTTCGATGTATGTTCATAGAACTGTGGCTGCATTTTCAAATTTACACATAATGAAATAATTTTTCTGAATTATTCCAACAGATGTGCTGGCACATGTTATACAGCAGCATAGAACTTACTTACTGTCGGGTATAAAAGACTCGAATTGAATGCAATGCAGTTAGTCAACAAATTAAAATGCGACTGTTTATTGGTCTACTGTTTGTCATGCTGGCTCCATGGGTCTACCCGGCCGAACATACGGCAAGAGAAAAAACTTTCGCAAGAGTTGAAGCCATGGTAACGCCACAGCTTGTGACGTCCAGACAACGAGCGCTCGGTGATTTAGTAATGAGTCCATCTAAGAACCAAGAAGAGGTATGAGCTAACTATGATTCTGATATGACTCATCAGATTCACCTATTATTTTAATTGTCATATAGATCTCTCTGTGGAAGGCGCAGAAAAGCTGCAAGGGAGTTGGGATGAATTGTCATTTTGCCGAGGAATGCTGCACTTACCTCTGCCTGAGGCGGTTCAACGAATGCGTATTCTAGAATTTAATTTATGTTATTTGGTTTTTGCTTTACCAATAAATGCATTACCAAATTGTTGAATACATAGTGTTGTTGGTGTTTAAATAAACATAAGTGGATTGGATGATCAGTTATCAGAAATGCATGCTTTAATAGATAACACTCAGCTTCTCATATCATCTAAATCTGTTTAAAAAAAAAAAACGTACTAAGCATCAAATCGAATATTTCAGAATTATACGTTTTAAAAAAAAAAAAAAACTAAGATTCATCGAAAATTGCATTAAGTCATATTCTTTCAAAAAAAAAAGAGCAGAAATAAAAAAATAAAAAAAAAAAATAAAAAAAAAAATAAAAAAAAAATCGTCCGGAATGTTAATACCATTGTCAGAGCATCAAACTTCTATTATGTCCTGGCCAAACCATAAAAATGCGGCAATTTACATCACTCTTGGTTTCAGCCAGCGTCATCATCAGCATCATCAATCTTGTGCTTAAAATTCACCAAGTGCTGAAATGCCAAGCAATTTACAAATTGACACTGAAGCGGAAAGATGATGGTAAAGTCAGCTGCCAAATATTGATGGCATAGATTTTATAGATTAAAATAAATAATGTAAGTGTCAGGTTATTCTATAAGAAATTAAGTAACACAATCAGAGTTTAGTTAGTGGTCAGCAGATATGATATGGTTTAGTAAGTCAGAATGGAAATTTTATTTGTTTATTGGGTTTCTGATTTTCTCTCTAATGTGCTCAGTCTACATGTGAGATCAGACTAGCCGAATCATATGACTTCTCGACTTCTCAGTGACATATGCATTTTTTATAAAAATTTACTAAAATAAATTTAAGGTAATTTTAGCTTTAATATTTGTATATTAGATAAAAATAATATCCTATGTTTTCGTAATTGAAAAGTACATGAATAGGGCATTCTCAAGTCTTGAGCTTCTTCAACATAAACTTAAAGTATTTAAATGTAATGTAGTCTTAAGCCAGTTCCATGGCAAGCATGGTCTGGTAGGCAGTAAACAATGAAACTGAATTAGAATAACGAATAAAATTCCAATGGAATCTCATTCCAATCAGTATATCATCCGAATTCCAACTGAATGCCAAGTTTTGGCCACATTTATTTTCGTTTGTTAAGTCAATAGATGAGCTTGGGCAGCATTCACCTGTTTAAATACTTTCTTGGCCTGGCCATCGTCAGCTGCTGCTCCAGGGCAGAAAAGTAATTTCACTTGACTTTGCCTCTTGATGGCTGCTTTGATGTGCACTCAATATTTACCTAAGGGCAGCTCACTTGACTACTTGAGTGGCCATATTTGGGATAGCAATTTGTTTTGCTACGAAAATATCTAGTAGCCGGAAATGAGCTATACAAAAATATTTAGTTGGCTTTGCAAACAGTTTAATGGTAACTAAATAATAAGTGAGCTCGAAATATTTGTAAATTGGTCAACAACTGAATCATGACTAAAAGGCCGAATCAATTGTATTGCCGACTTATCTTGCTGCTTATCATAGGCTATGTAGTGCTGCAGTGCTGCAGCTTTTACCTTAGTAAGTCCCCAAATGTAATATACGGAATAAATATACGGAATATAAATGAATTAACTTCAACTTGTTTAGTGGACAGTGCGAACATAAAGTCGAGAGACGATTCAGTGAATAAGAATATAACTAAATATTTAAGTAAGTGGAAAAACTAATTTTCTATTTTGAATGACATTTCGCTGATTGTTGACCAAACATTTCAGATATTATATATCCTTTTATGATGGATGTCAACACTGCACAGATGATATCTAATGAGAGAATGTTTAGTCCTCTGGAAAATAGCTCGGCTATTATTTTTTTTCAGGTACAGCTCATATACTAAATGCGACTTGAGAACACGCGTTTATTTTTTTTTTAACAGGTGCATAAGGCAACTAGTTACCTGCCGCGCTTGATAGAAAGCCTTTCTCATGCCAACGGCATTTCCGACGTATTGCTTATATTCTCATATGATTTTTTTGATGAGCAAAYCTATGATTCAGTGCTAGCGATTGAGTTTTGTAAGGTGATGCAAATCTTCTATCCACATTCCATACAGCTGCATCCACATAGTTTTCCTGGCAGCGATCCGAATGACTGTCCCCGCAAAATGTCGAAATTAAAGTAAGTTCGATTCCACCTTCTCTAAAGTGACGAATTTCTATTTCCTTATTTCATCCAGGGCCTTAATCATGAATTGTAATAATGCTCTCAGTCCAGATCTGCATGGTAACTACAGAGTCGCCGAATATACGGAGAAGAAACATCATTGGTGGTGGAAGGCCAACTACGTTTTCCATAAGCTTGAAGTAACCAAGAATTTTACTGGTTCGCAATTGATTTAGTTATTTCCTTTAAAGCCTGTGATAATTAAGATTGTCTTCTTCTCGTATGCAATTAGGTTTAGTTTTATTCCTGGAGGAAGATGTTATAGTAGCAGAAGATTTTTTGTTTGTGCTCTACAAAATGCAGAAATTTGCCAAGAAGCTATGCGCGCATTGCAATATTTTTAGTCTGGGTAGCGATCTGGGTTCTCTCAAGTCTGATTCCAAACGAGATGATAATGCATATTCCAAGGTAATTTCTGAGTAAATATTGGTCAGGCAATTCAAGTTTGTCTTTTCTTCAGGTTCAATATGCAGCTTGGTCAAGTGAACAACATGCTGTTGCAGTCGCCTTCAATGCAAGCACCTGGTCTGAAATCCATACTTGTGCTCAAGAGTTTTGCACATACGACGATTATAATTGGGACAAATCATTGGAGCACATAGGCGAAACGTGCATCAAAGGCGGTCTTAATGTGCTTACTGTCAAGAAATCTCGGGTTTATTCCACTCGAAATGGGTAATGAAAATGTTTTATCAGATAATATTTCCAACTAATACATGCACATTTCTATGCAGCTCATATCTGAACATGTCTAAGGCACATCTGGAGCTTAGTTCAGCCAGTGAACTTGGCCAGCTTTATCCGACCACACTCAAATTATCCAGATCAATTCTAAAAGCTGCAACTCAGCAGCCTATCGAGGTCATAAAAAGTGGGGATTGGAGTGATCCACGTGATCATCGGCTTTGCTTAAACTCAGCTTATGGCTAATATTAAATACAAGTTCTACTGATTCTCTGTTTAATTATTTTACAGTCATTTTACTTAAAAATAAATACTGGGGCTTACAATGTTTTTGTATGTGTATATCTATAGTTGTATTCAGAATGTATATAAAATATCAAATATGTTTACAGCTGAAGCATACAAAAAGTTGACTCTTTTCCATTTTTATCCATTTCTGTTGGTGCATAATGTGGGTATAAAACTTTCTCGTCGAATGCAAACCAAATGTTGGACATCGAACATGCTTTACTTTAAATTTGCATTTAAATGAATGCCGTTGAGGGTCAAAGGGTGATTGAAGTTGTGCCTACTCAGTTTCTGTTTAGCTGGGTGTATCACCCCCTACGAGCTGACCCGTCAGAATAAATATTAGCTATAATTTTATTTACTATATTTTTCCTTTGTTTTATAGTTTCTCCAATGCAACAAAATGTGGCAAAGGCTTCCACTGCTTTTCTTAAAAATCGACTAAATAAAAAACGTTTAGAGCTTTAAAAATGTTTCAAGATATGTAAAAAATATAAATAACTGAAAG